CTCATGTTGACAACTGTTATTAAAATCAAGGTACAATACAAGGCCTTCTCATGTTGACAACTGTTATTAACATCACGGTGCAGTATCAGACCTTGGAATCTAGATAACTGCTAGTGAGATAGGTTATCGTAAAAGACTTCATGTTGGCAACTGCTATTAAACTCAAGGTACAATACAAGACCTTCTCATGTTGACAACTGTTATTAACATCACGGTGCAGTATAAGACCTTGGAATCTAGATAACTGCTAGTGAGATAGGTTATCGTATAAGACTTCATGTTGGCAACTGCTATTAAAATCAAGGTACAATACAAGGTCTTCTTATGTTGACAACTGTTATTAACATCACGGTGCAGTATAAGACCTTTTCATGTTGGCAACAGCCATAAGACCTTCTCACATTGACATCTGTTACTGCTACTGAAATGAAATACAGTAAAATACTTTCTCATATTGGAAACTTATATTAACATCAAGTTACAGTAAAAGACTACCTCAGTGTAGTGATAGCTGCTACACAGTGCAGTATGCAGGCATATCGTGCGTTTTCTATCTTCGTATTGCAATAAATAATTTTAAAAAATCAGTTATTCAGGTGTATATGTGTAGCTCCATATAATAAGTACCCAAGAAAATTTATAAGTTACTTTTGCTCTAAGTATCTATTGTTCTGTGTCATCCCTCTTGAGATAACACCTTTTCTGCCTGTAGGAAAGAAAAGGTGTAAAGCTACACATTGTGTATGAAAGTAAATAGCACCATACTGCATAACTATACTATTGTGTATCAGCTACCACCATACTGCATAACTCTAATATTGTGTATCAGCTAACACCATACTGCATAACTATACTATTGTGTATCAGCTACCACCATACTGCATAACTCTAATATTGTGTATCAGCTAACACCATACTGCGAAACTCTAATACTGTGCAGCTGCTGCCACACTGAGAAACTCTAATATTGTATAGTAGCTGTTGCTGTACTGAGAAACTCTTGTACTGTGAAGCAGCTGCGGTCACACTGAGGAACGCTTGTATTGCTGTAGCCTTCCTATCTACTATATTTTTTCGATTAACCTAATTTCCCTTAAGAGCGACAAGGTCCGCATGATAACAGGATATTCGAAAAGATACTTATTACAAAGTAATAGAATGAGTTTGTGACAAAAAAAAAGACTGAACATAAATGTACAAAAATTGTAATAAGCAATCTTTATCAAAATAGAACATTTGTATTTACTTCATTAAGAAAGACAATCGCCTTTACTGAAGAACTAGATCTAGGCTGTGAAGTTTATCTACAAATTGTGCTTAGTGAAAAACTTCTACCAGATTGTGAAAACACCACTTTACGTCGTGCTTTCCTAGAGCGAGTTGCACTCCATACATGAATGGTTATTCCCATTTGAAAATTTGTTAGGTTGTAACTTCGAGATATCACCTGACGTACCATTTCAAAAACAAACGAACAAACAACTACAACAACTGGTAGCTGATACACAATATTATAGTTATGCAGTATGGTGGTAGCTGATACACAATAGTATGGTGGTAGCTGATGCACAATAGTATAGTTATGCAGTATGGTGTTAGCTGATACACAATATTAGAGTTATGCAGTATGGTGGTAGCTGATTCACAATAGTATAGTTATGCAGTATGGTGGTAG